TGCCTGTTGCTTTGTCTTGCGTTCCATTTGGGCGCTGGGTAATAGAGTGTGCCCGAGCTGCCTGTAAAGTAGACCTTCGATTTACATTTTGTACCGTTCGTTTTATGACAAAGTTCTAGCAGTACCAGGTAGCTGGCTAGTCTATGCCAGGCCAGGCTTAGCCAGGGTCCATCACACTCGTTGGAAACAGCCGAAAGGGTTTGGTGGCTTTGCTGTTTGCCAGACTGGCGCGATTCGATTCACAAATCACTCCCGCAGCTCCTTTTCGAAACATGCAAAAATGGTACTCCGTGCTTCTGCTTTGGTCTGCCGTCCACTTCCATTGTCCATGGCATTGTACGGCTGTACTGTACTAATAGCTAGTCCGGTTTGTGACAGGCACACAAAATGCAGGACCTTTCACTTTTAATCGCGACAGATTGTCTCTAAACAAATGGTTGAACCGGTGGCGAAACAGGATCAACTCCCGACCCAGCATCCAACTTCCAACCGTGCTTGGACTTCACAATGCCTGCATGCAGAAAGCGGAGAAAAGACCAGCAACGGTTTGTGGTTTTCCCTCTGCCAAAAATTTTCGCCATCAAAACGTCTCACAATATTTTTTTAGCACCCAGCAATAACACAAACAGACAACCCCCCACCACATCTTTAACATGTGTATCTTTACCATCAGTACACCCATCTCTGGCACAGAATTTACGTCCAGTGAAGAGTTCACACTCACAAAACCATCCAGGAGACTTAGTTTTCCAATCAAGGAAGTGATCTTTGCCATTGAAGAAGATCTCTCTGGCGATCAACAAGTAAATGATCGTCACCACATCCGTCGCTCCCTTTCCATTAGTACTGAGGACTTGCCTATACTTATAATGGATTTGGACGACTCGTCCGAGAAAGCACTAATCGACTCTTTTGCTTCCGCCTTGGATGCATTTCAACTGTCCTCTACTACTGGGGCCAGTAGTTGCTGCGCCATGAATGATTGGTCGTCATCTACTCACAACCGCCGCCGTAGTCATCGTAGACGCAATGCCATGGCTTCCACGGACTATGAAAAGAACATCTTTTCTTTTGCAGACTTGTTCCTTTGAACAAACAAACAGGCCATGAACTCGTCTTATCTTTGGCCAATGTTCCGGTGCACAACTTGCTGTTGGCAGGAACTCAAAAAAGCAAGCTAGGCTGACCCTCACCAGTACAGAAGCACCTCCGCATCTCGCCAGCATCAGCTAGACAGGAGAAAGATCCAATGAACAGATGGGACTGTCATTGCTACACACATTTCACAAACGAAGATGTAATCTACTGTCAATTCTACGTAATAAAATTTTGCAACATCAACCAACCTTTTCAACAAACAGTTTTTTTAAAATAGATTCTTCACAAGGTGACACCGCAACTGCTGCCATCACGGCTGGATCCAATAGTTTCTTCCATGTGTAAAAAAAAACTGGCCACCTGCAACATCGGCAATACTTCTGATCTGCACTTATTACTTTACTTCGCTGGTAGTCTACTATGTTGAGCCCTCTTGTTCTTGACTGCAGCAACTCCACGAGCTCAGCTAATAAGTGGTGATTCACTTTGAGACTGCCCAAGTCAGAGAGCATCTTATGTATGTATTATGTTTTTGAAATAATCTATTTACAATCATACACATCAACAACACCCCACTGTTTGGCTACACAATGGCTGCTTGCGGTTGTTTCGAGTCGACCAAATTTTGTGCTTTTTTCTTTTTTCCAAAGGGCCAGAATTTCCGTTTCTTGGGGGTGGTGGACGTGTTGTTGTCAGCCACGGGAGCCGCACTAGTTGTCGCAGTGGCGGTTGTTGGAGGGGAGGTTGTGTTGGTTGCACCATTGTTATTATTGTTGTTGCCATCTTGTAGCATGATCCAGTCACCGGTAGGTTCGGGTGGAGCGGAAGCGTTGGCCACAGCCTTGGCATAGTCACTGTTGTTGCTGGACTGCTGCGACAATTCGACGTCGTTTTTGTTGTTGTTGTTGTTGTTGGCAGTTTCTTGGCAATCTTGTTCAGCTTTTTGTTTTTGGTACAAATGAATGGATAGACCGGAAAGAAAGTGCAATACCAACAGCGAAATGGCCACCACTTGCGTCACAGAGTCACTTCCACAGCAGCCGGCTTCATTCAAGAGTGGCTGTGCGACATAATCGTAGAGAAAGTAGTAAAATCCCATGGCCACGGGAATCGCAACAAATTTTTGCCACCATTTTTGGAAATACTCGGCACCGCAACTGCAGCCGGCCGTTGTGGCTTCATCTTCGTCTTTATCATTCTTCTGTGATTTGTTGTTGGTTGTCATCATGGACTGCTTAATTTTGTCGAGTTCCAGCGATTCGTAGAGCGCCACGGGGGCTGCCTTCCAGCTCCATAGCAACACCCAAATGAGTCGCGACAATACGGCTTCGGAACACGGCAAAATCTTGGCCGCAAAGCCAACGGCCATTTCCATTAGAGGACCACCCGTCGTAGAGGCATCTTGCTCTCCTTGTTCTAGCAAGTCATTGGCCAACTGATCTTGTTCCGATGAATTGCGTTGTTGGGAAACCTGATTGCGAAAGGAAGATACGGGAGATGTCAAAAAGGAACACAGGTTGCATGGCAACGACGAACAGCAACACCGATTATTGCCCATGGTAAATTAGGATGGTTGTAGGGTTAAAGTGCAATGATGGGATGTTGGCTTTTAAAAGCAATCGGCTACCAGTACCCTACTTGCCAGTCCAGCTATTTCTTTGTTTCACCCTTGGTCCTGGAGGCACCACTCAAGTTCAGGCCGCGAACGGAGGCAATGCAAATCGATCAAATTGTGAGCGAGGTTCGCCAAACATCACATAAAGTCATTTGTCTAAGTACTGAATGACCAAATTAAAAGATACTTAGGCACGAGCCATCCGATGTTGATGCCTTCACTGGAACACTGCTGGTACCTCAACCACCTCAACCCTCCACCCTCGGCTCGTGGCATTGCACTTTGCCAGTTCTAAGGTCTGCCATACCGGTACGGTAGCATGTGCCATGACGTCTGAAGGTAGCTTGGCACGGTTGCTATTAATAGTAGGCACCATTGTGTGACTTTGACCAAGCAATCACAGCCATCTCGCACCAGAGTGTCAACGTGACGGATACTACTAGCTAGTACGTCTCATCGCAGCCTGAGCAATGGCTGCATCAAGCAAGCAACTGACTAACAGTGTTCTCAGACCCATAGTTACCTACTAGATTCTTCTTGCCAAAAAATGACCGCCTGCCTAGCTAGCGGTCCCGGTATGGCCAATACGATTCCTTGGAACCTGCACGTGCACACGATCTCCATTGGCAACCGTACGGGTACTTCATGCCGAGTTTCAGCAAAAAATAAATGAAAGGGTCGTACGGTGAGACACGACCGTTTGGATACATCCAATGGCTCTGTCTCTTCTCTAACAAGAAAACTCATATATCACCTTTGCACATGACTTCGATCATGGGAATTAGTCGTGATTTGCAGAAGGAAAGTTACCTTGTCGGGAATTGCAAAGGCAATCTGAGCAAAGAATAGAACCGCTCCAAGGAAGAAATTCGTGACTCCCAGCCAAATTTACCATGGCTTTTGGTCTTTGGGCTGTGGACGTAAGCTCCCGGAAACAATGGTAAACAATGCCCTCTCTGCGGATTAGATTCTTAATAGTGGAAATAAAGCTGCTAAACTATGTACTAAACAAGATGGCTCCAAGAAACGGTCGGACCATTTTGTCGCGCTGCACCTCTTTCGTCCGGTCTCCAAACGTCTGGCAAAAGAGCTCCTTCCATTCATTCATCCGCTCTACCGCACACCTAGAGACAGAGGAAACCAATTTTGTGGACCGCTCCCACAGCTAGCCCGGTCGCAGCCTTCCGTCATCCAACTCAAATCAAATCAAAACAAATCAAATCAAAAGAAGTGGTCACAGATTGTTCCAAGAATTTTCGAAAAGTTCATCAGAGAACCCAAGTTTCACCTCTGCTGCTCAGTTTGTTCGGTAGTTTGCAAATAAATGATCATGAAGATCCAGGTTGTGAGTTTGTGTTTCGCGGCCCTGCTGTGGTTGCCCGTTGCGGTGCAGGGTGGAATGTTGCGTCGCATGGTGGCACACCCAGAACAAATTTTTTACAACCGAGCCCTTCAAACAGCGGAAGATCAGGCCGACACATGGACCACTACGGCACCAGATACGTACACGTTGGAGGAAGCTCAGCGAGCTCAAGTCATTGGAATGGTTGTATTCTATTTTGCGACACAAGGCGATTTGTGGGTGAAAAATGACAACTGGCTCTCGTATCAAGTCGACGAGTGCTCATGGTACAATCAAGCAGACCCTTCCTGTGACTCGAATGGATTCTTGCTGCAGTTGGTTTTGGAATCAAATGGCTTGAATGGGACTCTTCCGTCTCAAATCGGAGACCTTGCGTCATTGCTGGTTTTGGACCTCGAAAACAACACTCTGACAGGAGAAATACCTCAAGAGCTGGTCCAATTGAGTGGGTTGCTTGCATTGGACTTATCCGTCAACTCTTTAAGCGGTACGATTAACCCAGATCTTTTCTTGTTGGAGAATTTGACAGTCTACAACTCTGGCTTTAACCAAATGAATGGCACCATCCCGTCTACCGTGGGTAACGCCACCAACCTTCAATCGTTCAATGTCAGCCAAAACATGCTCACTTCTGCCATTCCTTCAGAGATTGGGAGATTGTCATCTCTTCTAATCATTGATGTCGGTGGGAACGATCTGAACGGAACGGTTCCAGATGACCTTGGAAGTATCGATGATCTGGAAGTTCTTTGGCTGGATAACAACCCAAACATAACCGGTGGAGTGCCTGGTGAACTTGCGAATCTAGTGAACTTGACGTCGCTTCACCTTCAAGAAACTGGATTGGTGGGTAGAATTCCACCAGCTATTTGCAACATCACCAATTTGAACTTTACTTGTGATGAAACTGGTCTCAGGGGTCTCTGCGGCTGCGCCCCGTGCATATGTAGAAGTCGAGAGCCCCTATCAGCATCTCCTTCTGTCAGTTCAGCTCCTTCTATCAGTATAGCTCCCAGTTCTTCGCCAAGTTCTACGCCAAGCAGATCTCCAAGTAGCAGTCCAAGCAGTTCTCCCAGCAGCAGCCCTTCGCATTCGCCAAGCGCCTCTCCCAGCTGGTCCCCAAGCGCCTCTCCCAGCAGGTCTCCAAGCAGGAGTCCTTCACGTTCGCCAAGCGCCACTCCCAGCAGGTCTCCATCGAGTTCCCCAAGCCGTAGCCCCAGCGCATCACCTTCTTCAAGACCCTCAGTCTCAGCCATGCCTAGTGTTTGCTTGGACGCTACTCCCTCGCCCAGCAGTTCTAGTAACCCACCGTCTTCGTCTTTATCTCCCAGCATTGCTATCCAGCCTTCATGTATCCCCACCATTAGCCATATGCCGTCAACCAGCAAGGCTCCCTCTGACAGTCCGAGTGTGAGCTTGGCTCCTTCTCGATCCCCTTCAATGGGACCACCATCTGGAATGCCATCCTCAGCTCCATCGACTTCAAAAAGTCCATCGAATCCACCAAGCGTATCAGCTGCACCAACCATAACCGCAATGCCCACTGATAGCTCAGCACCATCTACTACTCCGTCCGTCTCTGCGAACCCCTCCAGTGCGCCCTCTCTGTCAACAAGCCCGTCATCTCAACCAAGTGCGGAGCCATCTGCGCATCAACCCAGCACAAGCCAACCGTCTGAAAGTCAAGTTCCATCGTCAACGCCCAGCGCGAGTGCCAATCCCAGCAGTGCCCCTGCACCTCCCACTGGCACTTCTTCTCCATCGCTCAGCACAAGCCCTTCGGTTGCCCCGTCAGCTCCTTCTGGTACTTCTGCTCCGTCCAGCAGCACTAGCCCTTCAAGTGTTCCCTCTGTCCCATCAGGCACTTCAGCTCCCAGCACCACTGTCCCATCAGCTCCTCCCGCAACTTCTGCTCCATCCAGCAGCAGTAGCCCTTCAAGTGCTCCCTCTGCTCCTTCAGGCACTTCAGCTCCCAGCACCACTGTCCCATCAGCTCCAGCCACGAGCAGCACT